CAACTATAATTAAATATTTTTGGTACAGATCTAGTGACATGAGTTTTATATCACATAGGTTGCATGATAATTTGTTAGTGGTCATTAACCGAAGTATTATCTTAACTTTTTATTTGTGGGAAGTATAATCTTAACTAATTAAAATACTCTCAACAACAACATTTTTTCCAAATATGATGACGAGGTTCCACTCATGGAACTTAAATATAGATGAATCATGGGTTGACTTTGATAAAATGTATGTCTACTTTTACAAAAGTGACAATTGCCAAAGAATCAAATATCAAATCTAATATTTGTGATTAAATGAGGCGGGCTCTGAAAATCCTCCACCCGGCCCATTTATCTCTTGTCTTTGTTCTAAACAAAGGTTTCACTACTTGTAACCTATGGAAACAATAACATAGTTTCAATTGTAGAAATAGCAAATGGGTCATACTATCTTTTTTTGAGAAAAAATTCGAATATATTCATCGAACATCATGATAGTACAAAAACACTAGAATTAACAGAAACTACATCCAGTTCTATTGGTCACCTAGCGACAACTACAAGCACTGGAGCAAGCTGAAGGCGTGTCGCCGTCATCGCCCCTTCCTCACCATTAGTGGGCAGTTGAGAACTCATCATGCTAAGGCCCCAAAGGACCAGCACACCAGGATAGCAATCGTCGTTGATGAAGAGAAGTGAAGATCAAAAGGATAGACACATGAATGCAAACGAAGGAATATTCGATCCATACAAATCTAGAAAAGACAAACACTGACCTAATCTCATGAGATCCGTAGAAGACACCTCCAAACACCCTCTGACGGCACTAGACGCACCACCAAGGTGAGGGCTAGGCAGAGAGAACCATATTCATCTTTAGGGAGCAACCACCTCCTTGCTTTCCTGGGAAGGACAAAACTCTAAACAAACTCAAAAAACATCTAAAACGAAGCAGGAGCCCTCTCACCAGCAAGGGCCGGGATCCACCATGCCTCCATGGCCCTAAGATCACGGGAGGCGAAGCAGATTGGCGATGGCGCCAGCGGAATCGTGGAAACCCTAGTTTCTGCAGTCACTCTTGGGGTCCTACTACCTTATGATCATAGTATTAGTAGCTTAGCAAACAAATCATTTTCCGTCTTCCAAAATTGTGAAGATAAAAGGACATACATATGGACTACAAAAAGAATGGTGCACAGGTGAATTTTGGTAAAAGAATGCAATCATTTACTCTATGTACTTACTTTGACCAGAGTTTAAAAAACCAGTGACCAAACTGATGAGGTTGGTAGTTTAGGTTTTCATCAGTCGGACTACTGGTTCACCTGTTCCTGAATGACTTTTTAGCAACAAAAATATATTTTATACTAACATAATAGTAAACATAGGTTAAACAATACTCCCTTTGTTTCATAATGTAGTGCACATAGAGTTTTTAAAAAGTCAAGCGTCACAAACCTTGACCAAATTTATGGAGAAAAACATTTACATCTAGAATGCCAAACTTATATCATTAGATTCAATATAAGATGAAATTTCATAATTTATATATGTAGATATAAATAGTTAGCTCTAATAACTTGGTCAAAATTTTCGAAGTTTGACTTTTCAAAAAATTATGCGCACTATATTATGGAAAGGATGGGGGATTACTTTAGCAGTTCTTTGTGTTAAGTGACAGCACGGTCTACATACCTTAAGGACCTGCCAACGTTGTTTATTCCGGGTTTTCTAGTTTGACCGCCAGTCTAATACATTTTATTAACTATGATTGTATCTTAAAAATCTTGTTTACATTAGCTCACTGCAATTTACTGTAGCTCACACAATTTATTATATTTCCTCAACTAGGATACTACTTTATTTTTCTTACCAAATTTTAATGTTTAATCAATATGTTTTTTAGATTCTTGATTATATATATATATATATATATATAGTTATATATATAGTTATATATATAGTTATATAGTCTTACGCGTTATCACAGAAAAAGAGTATTCTTTTTTGCGGGATCGCAGAAAAAGAGTTATACAGGCTTACCCATACATGAGCCATCTCAGTCACGATTGTCAGAAGTGCTGCGAGAGGCGAAGGATCCTATTTCACGCGCGGGTCACTGGTTAAAAAAAGTCTCATGTGATGGGTTTTATGAACCGATTTTTGTTATTTTTCTTTCTTTTTTATGTTTTTTCTTTTTCTCCAGTTTTCTGTTTTTTTTCTTTTCTGCTTTTCATTTTTATTCTTGTTTTCTAAATTTTCTAAACTGTTTTAAATTCGTGAACATGTTTAAATATCATGAACATTTTCTGAAATGATGAATATTTTTTCAAATTCATAAACATATTTTTGAAATTGTGAAAAAAATTACAATTAGTGTTCATTCACTTAAATTCTGAACATTTTCCGAAATTATAAACATTTGTTGAAATCATGAACATTTTTAAAATTCAAAAACAAGTTTTCTACATCATGAACATTTTTAAAATTCAAAAACAATTTTTCTACATCATGAACATTTTTTACAAATTCCTCAACATTCTCTTAAATCGTGAACATCTTTTCTAATTCACGAACATTTTTTTACATCGTAAAAATTATTTAAATCAAGAACATTAGTTAGAATGAGAAACAATTTTGGAAATCATGAACTTTTTTTTAATTCGTGAACATTCTCTTAAATAATGAACATTTTTCGAATTCATAAACATTTCTTGAAATCTTGAACTTTTTTATAGTATAATGAACATTTTTTAAATCATGAACAATTTTAAATTCATGAATATTTTTAAAAAGTATTGAACATTCTCTCAAACTATGAACATTTTATGAATTCCTGGACATTTTTGAAATCATGAACATTTTATGAATTCATGAACATTTTTCTGAAACTTCCCAATTGTATTGAAATTTAGAGCTTTTTGATAATCTAAATTATTTTAAAAATCAGTAAAAAAATTAAAGGAAAAAAATAGGGGGCATCCCAACCTACACATTGGCCGGCCCAGAAGGCAACTGGTTTCCAGCGTGCGGGTCGCCGAATAGGAGGAGGCCCCCGCGGGAGATCTAGCTCCTTCTCGCCTTTGGCGCCCGCTGTTGTGTCCTAATCGGCCGGCCTGGTGAAGTGATTTTGGGAAAGGTTTTGATCACCGATTCGTGGAACCTTCCGTCGATTTTGAGAAGATTTCATGCAGTTTTTTTTAATTTTTTCTGCATTCTCCATTATGGTTTTTCTTTTGGTTTTCTTTTTACCTGTTCTTTTTATTATTTTCCTTTTTTTATTTCTTTCAAATAGACATTTTACTTTTTTTATACACATAAAATTTTTATTAACATGTTTTTAAAAAACTAAAAATGAAAAACATTTGTTTTTAAATGTCATGAATATTTTTTAATGATAATTTCTAAAATTACGTAAATATTTCCTTAACATTGGATAAGCATTTTTTCGCGTCATAAACATTTTTTCAAATGCCATGAACATTTTAAATTGTACAAAATATTTATAAAATGTGCACCGGCATTTTTTTAAATGTCTCAAACATACTTTTGAAATGCCTGAACTTTCTTAGAAATTGCATGAACAAATTTTCTACAATGCATAAACACTCTTTTGATGTGATGAACATTTTGAAAACTTAAGAAAATTATATTTTGAAGAGTATGTATTTAGAATATTTTGAAATATAAAGAAAAGTTAAAAATGAATGAATTAATGAACAATAAAAATCGAACAAAACAAAAAAAATAAGCCTCCCGAGATACTGGGTCGGCCCGCTAGTGAGGTGGCTTGAGGTGAGCCGGGCTACCGTCTCGCTCGGGAGCAACTAATTAAGAGGTACCCCTCCATGCGGAACCTAGCGGGCACTTTTGGTG